GACAAGAGGGAAATGTTGTGGGATGGCAGCCTAAGATCCACAACAGTAAGGGGATAAAGCAGAGCACTTCCCCATGGTTTTCTCCACTGTCCCCCAGTTACTGGACCTCCGTGAGATGAGGTCCTGTGTTGGTGATCACCCATCTGAACAAAAATAATGCTTTTAGGTGCATGTAGAAACATCCTTTGTATACTATTCACATCTACTGAGAAATCAGTTAGATTGTGATCTAAACTCTTTGTGATTGAGGTTTTGAAAACAGTTGAGTTGAATATTCAGGGTTGAAGATTCAAAACTTTAGTTTTTCAAACATCTACCCAGAGATGTGAAAAGTTGCTCTTTGGACTAAAACAGAGCCAGGAAATTCTGAAAGCTGTAATATTAAAAATAACCTTTCCAAGATGCGCTTAGTTATGGTATGCCACTCTACAGCCTTGTGGCTTTGTTGCCATGAACATTTCAAGAATATAAACATTTGCAATCATTTGAGCATGTTGCGTGGATTTTTAGTTCCTTTGCCCTGGGCCTTTTCTTCAATAGAATCTGGCTCAAGCCAAGTGTTTATTTCTATGAAAACCATTAAGCCACATTTCTCCTTTCTATTGTGCATTTGCTTTAGTAAGTGTAAACTCTGAAAGCATTTTTGCCTTGCTGGCGATCCAGATGCCATGTAGTTCAGAGGTGAACAACTTTCTATCCTTCCAGAAGTTGTTTGAATGCAGTTCTCACCATTCTTAACCAATGTCTGTGTGAGTTAGCAATGATGGAAGTTGCAGCCCAATAACTTTCAAGCAGTCACAAATAAAAGGAGACATGTTATGTCATCATTGTTACCAAAGAACCAAATAGAATATAAGTGGAGTAAAAAACAAGGAGGCTCCATGAAATGCTGTATTTTGTGTTTTGGGTGTCCACAGAGTCCTAGCAGTTTGAGTGTTGTGTCTTCCTTCTTGTACTGCTATGCTCTTTCTCATTCAAGCATAAATCTGGCAGATTCAACTCTTCCTCAGAGGTATTATCTAGGAGTGTTATCACTTGGCTGACTTCAACAGTAGATTTCAAGAATTGACTCTAGTCATCTATAAAAAGAAAAGTTGTTCTTATTCTGAGGAAAGTTCTCTTCCTGAGAAGATAGTTTGCCGCAGTGTTGATTCCCTTCCCCTCTACTACCATTCTTTGGGACCTAACCTCCCTCTTGAATGACTTGATGTTGCCTGTAATTTAAGTTGACCCAAGACATTTTGTTTCTGGAATCAAAGGGCAAAATGGCATCCTAGTTCCACATTCAGAAGCCATCCAAACTGGCAACTGAATATAACTTGAACATGGGGAGGAGGTACTGTCCTCCACCATACCAAGAGCAGACAAGTATCATTACTGATGCAGAGTGGACTTTGTGGCACACCTAATTCTGCCCACTAGCACAGCTTACTTCTGTTCCTCTTCTCACCATGCAGGTTTCTCCAGAAGTTGACTATAGAGTCATGCTGGAAGACCTAGAAATTCTATAGTATACAGGGTAATTTGCAGTTTTTCCACCTACATGCCCTACAACCCCAACCTCAATAAATATTGTGGGCTGATTTTGTTAGGTAGCAATTTTGTTCTGTCAGAAGGTTGTAAACAATTAATTTATTTAGGAGCAGAAGGTGGCAGATTAGGTACATTAGCTAATTTGCTGTTTTCTGAAAACAAATTTGCTTTTTCTGTGGACTAAGATCCTAGTTGACATGTTTCTCCTTTTAGGCATGCGTTCAAAATTTTCTGATAAAAATGTATTCCTGGTGAATTTCTGTGTTCTCCGTGTCTTCCTTTGGCTATTGCTAGCATCATGATTACACGAATCCATTGTGATGATATATTGAAACTTAATCCAGTTTTGCACTAGTAACATAGACACTCTTGCTTTTCAATTAAGAGTGAATTAACGAAGGTTTATGTTCATTCATCTGGTAACAGGATTAAGCTAATATGAGATAAACTACACTTAAATCAGAAAGGCATTCCACAAGAAGCTTAACAGATTTAGCTAAATAGCTGGAGGAATGGGAGAAGATCTTTCTGGATATTTTAACAAGGGAAAACCTTCTTCCCAGCCTTGGAAAATTTAATATTGTGATGTATAAGATCCTCCCCCGGGAACCCATAAATCCTCTGAGCTGTACTGAATGTTATGCCTGTAGAACTAGCTCATATATTTTACTACATACATTCACTCACATTTTAATCTCAGGGTTGAGTTAAACTTCCAGCATGTTATGCTTTATGTTGGAAAAGGCTTGTACAAGGAGGTGGCATTTTGTATCATTTTTTCTTCAAATTTGAAACAAGTGACAGCATAAAGCTGTCTCTAGTGATTCCAGACAAAGTGACCATCACAGAGATGTAGCACTTTGAAACCATTTTATCAGCCATGATTCTATTCTGTGGAATCCTGGCATTTGTGATTTGGTGAAGATTGTGTTTCAACTCAGCAAACAAAATCTCCAAATGTACTGCGAAAATAATGGACAAGGAAAATGCAAAGGCAGCCAAAGGGATTTGACAAGAATAGAAAGAGTGAATATAGGCACAGATGAAGGAAACAAGTAGAGGGAAAACCTTGATGCTGACTAACCCACAGACAATTTTTAATCCTGAGTTTGCTTCAAATTGTTGTTTTGAAATATCTCTTAGGAGTTTTACCTTTTTAAAAATACTTTTGGAGTACTAAAATACAGTCCTGTAATAAAAGAAAGGGTGACAGATGTAGCCTACCCAACCAGATGGATTTCTATGTAGAGAAAACAAAATCACAGTACAAGACAGGAAAAACTAAATCAGATTTCCGCAGTGTGGAAATACCATCTCCGAAGGCCTGCTTGCTACAAAGATATTCTATATTTTTATACACAGGTTGTTCCTTAGTTTTTTTAGAAATCTAAATTAAGTTTATTTCTTCTTTGAGTCTTCCTGTTTGTATAACATCAAAATACACTTGCTGTATAAGTTGATGACAATGTTGAGTCTAAAAATATTGCCTCTAACAGCATGGTTGGTGTGAAGGAGGTGACTGCCATTCTGAACGAACAGCAGAAATATCCAGCAATGTTTGAGTTTACAGAAAGGAAATCAGGAGAACTTGATCTCTATTTAATAATTGCTTTTCCTTTTCACTGGAATCTCTGTAAGCCTTGACAACACATTGATCTTAGCATTATGTGCCTCATACTATTTGAGTTTTTTGTAAAAGTTCGGTGAAAACCTCTGTTCTACCTCAGAACAGAAAAGAGAGGAAATGAATTACACTGTTTTGTTTAGTTTTTAACCTAACTAGGTTACTGATTTTGTTCTCCTAGACAACAATTGATGCTTCCTTAACCATCTCCAATAAATCTTTAGGCTTCCTTTATAATCTGGTGCTTCAATACAAGGCTAACAATTGTTTTAGAACAAAGTAGGTTTCTTGAGTGTTTCTGCTTATTTTCCCACTTGAATCAGTCAATGAGCTTTGGAAAAGGTGACCTTCCCCCTCTATATCTGAATGTTGACTTCAAAAATCAAAGCTTTGGAAGCTGTCCTTCTGGAACTTAGCATATTTATTCCTGTATAAGTCAACCTCATGCATAAGTCAAGGACAGATTTTAGAGCCAAAATTATGGATTTTTATGTGATCCATGAATAAGTTGGGGGTCATTCTGCGGAGAGGGGGAAAGCCAGCACCCCTGCCACTGACACTGTTTCCTCACCCAGTCAATTAAAGAGGCCTTTCATAATTCCATTCAAATAAGGGAATGGTTCATTTTTTCATAAATGTTAACATGCAGCATTATCTCTCTCTCATTCATATATATATACCATTCCCTTATCTGAACAGAGTGACAAAAGGCGAGAACATAGTCCATTCCAGAAGAACTTCAAAGTAGAACCAACTCCCCTTCTCTTTCAACTGCTTCACTACTTCTGGCCTGTTTTAATGTCTGCATGGAAAAATATGACAACTGTTCTTTGGGACTCCCCCACAAAGGAGCACTGAAAGAATAGAAAGTGTCTGTGCTTCTGTGCTTCTTTTAGGTTCCCCCAAGACACCACTTGACTTAGAGAAGTGTTTACATTGACCAATGGATATTTCAACCTAGGTTTTCAGCTTGATTTTTTGACAAGAATTTATAGTCTTAAACATGAGACTGAAACTTAAATGCACCTGTCAACTAGCTGAGGTTACATATCCACCTCATTATTGTATAGCAACATGCAAGCCAATGGTATATTTTTCTCTTAACAGAGAATCTACAGCTCATGGCAGAGCTTCCTCTTTTCATACAGATGGTATCAGGTTAAGTTCCTCATTGCTGCAGTTATTGATAAGAGTGTGTGCAGCAATTAGAGATCCCGATGAAAGAAACAAAGCATTGGCTTTATTTTAAAATAAGAACACTATTCAGGATGCTAATCTAATAACATAGAAGCAAATGAACTGGTTTATTTTCATGATAGTATGAAGATTGTTATAACTAAAAAGCTTTTGTATTTGAGGATGGAATGCATAGGCTGATTATAGCATAATGGTTAGAGTGCTGAACGGTGACTTGGAGAAATGGAGCTCATTAAGTCATACTGTCCAAACCTATCCATCTCATAGATGTTTGTTTTGCTACCTGTTCAGAAGATTTCACCTCCCTGTCCCCAGGGGTGTGAAAGAAAATTGACTTGGTGTGTAAACAAGGATCAAGCTTCAGTGGAGACACCTTTTCTACATGATAACACCTTCAGGAGTGAATTTCTCTCTCTCATTTCCAGTTGTCTCATTCCCGTTTGCAACTATGAGTCATTTGTAAGTTGGATGTTTGTAACTCAGGAACTGCTTGCAAAACAAAACAAAATAAACATATACATAATTTTCATGACATATGTTTAAAAACTGAAAGAATGGCCTTTGGTTTGGTTGATGAACCCAAACTTAGAATCTTCAATAGAATTCATTGGTGTTCTACTATTAACAATTTTTTCTTCCTTTGCAGATGACAGAAGGGAGACACTGTCAAGTACAGCTTCTGGATGACAGAAAATTGGAGCTGCTGGTTCAGGTGAATCATATACATTTCTTCTAATCTCATAATGTTATTATAGTTATATCTTTTTGCAATCATCCATCCCTGTTCTTGGCTCAGAGGGGGCATTCACATTCAAAATCTGGTAGTATGGGCAGATGTTAGTCAGGCTGTCTCCGTAGTAGTTATTCCCAAGTAGAGTTTGGAATTTATTCAAATGTTTATTTACCAAGATCACACTGATTATGTGGTTTTATTTTAGTGAGTACTAACAACTGAAATATGGTGCAGTTCTCAGCACATTATGTCAAGAATTACCCCAGAAAACTGGGGTTTATCTAAAGGACACCAACCAAGAGGGTAAAGGCTTTAAAAATAAATTGAAAGAGCTTTTCTCACCTAGAGAAAAGAAAATTTAAGGGGAGAAACAGTGCCTTCAAGTAGTTTTCAATTTATGGCAACCCTAAGGCAATCCTATCATGGGTTGTTCAGAGGATGTTTGCCTTTGCTCTCCTTTGAGATGGAGAGAGTGTGGCCTTCCATGGTTGAGAGGGGATTTAAACCCTGGTCTCCAGAGTTGTAGTCTAAGGCTCAAACCTCTACACCACATTGGCTTTCAGAAAAATAAGATTTAGGAGAGACATATTACGATGATTTTATATCTGAAGGGCTGGTGACACAGAAGATGGAGCAGACTTCTCAATTATTCCAGTAAGGCTCAGAAGACTTATAAGCGGAGTGATCCTCACCTACATTTATTATTTATTTTGATGTTTAAGTATTTATAATTGTACTGTATCAGATGACTTCAGGGTGCCAAAATAGAGTCGATTTCTTTTAGATATAAGAGTAGGCATTTTGACAAAGCTTTCTCTCTGCTGATCTTTTTCAAATAAATATTCTCCATAATATGGAGATAGACGAGCATTGTTGCCATACATAGTACTTCATCACACTAAAGGATGAATCCACTTTAAATCCGGTTGCTGCCTCCTGCAGAATTCTGGGATTTGTAGTTTAGTGAGGCTGTTAAAGGCTCCTCTTTAAACTACAAACTCCAGAATTCTGCAGGAGGCAGAAACCGGATTTAAAGTGGATTCATTCTCGAGTGTGATGAGGTCCATAGTCTGGATTATGAGATAAAAGGGTAGAGTGGAATGTGTGGTTTTCCAGATGTTGAACTGCAGGCCCTATTTTCACTAGCCTACATAGCCAAATGGTGGGTGAATCACGTGTATTATAACATTTGGAGTCCCACACACACCCCTCATCTCTTTTTACATCAAATATAAAAAAGCACTTTGTAAGCAAACTTGGCCTGCAGAAAAAGAAATGTCAATACAGCAGAAGGGTTTAACATGCAGATTGCCAGTTGCCTCGGTACACAGAAACGTCATATAACTCATGTTGTTCTTTTCAACAGCCTAAACTTCTGTCACGAGAATTGTTGGATTTGGTAGCTTCACATTTCAACCTTAAAGAAAAAGAATATTTTGGGATCACATTCATAGATGATACGTAAGTATATCTATATATATGTTATTTTGTAACCCACTTTTTACTAAATAGACAAAGAACAATATTGGCTTCTCCAAAATTACTCTGTAACAGTTGGGTAGCAATGTAATTGTCTAATTGTTGTTAGGACAAGGTACCCAAGTAGTTCATTTGTTTGTTATACCTTCATGTTACTAGTGTCTACTTAATTTTCAAAGCTAGCAACTACTGGTGCTGGGTAGAGAAATGCCAACAATAATAGATCGATCTATAGTAACTGATCAATCATACCTCAGTCCTCAATCTGGAAACACCATAAATCAAGTCCAGTGCTTTAGCCAATTTTATAGAATTGAAGATATCTTGAAAATGTAGTGTTGTGTCCTTTTTTTGCAGTATGCACTTGCAGCCTCCAGAGGGCAGTCGAGCTCTAGTTTATTAAAACTTCTGTAGTGTTCCTACAATATGTCATGGAAATGTAGTCATGGCTAGCCCAGTAGTCCAGCAAATCGCAATAAAATCTAAAAACCTTTTCTTCTTCAATATAATGTTTAACATCCTTGTCCAATGAAGAAGCCAATGTAGCTTCAAAAAACTGCAAGAGATATATTTGTGCATTTTGGTTGACCAATAAAGACATTGCTGTTTTGTAGATTTTTGGATTTTGTTGTGATATTTTTCTGTGGTGACAGTCAAAACACCAAGTTTACTACTTTCCTCTTATTTTAAATTTACAGGACAAAACTAGAACATATGACTAGGAATCATTGGTTTTATAAAGTCTGTTTAGACAATAAACTGATCTGTGGCTGATCATGCATTTGTTGGTGAAAACCAACTGCGAGGATTTTCTGCATCCAGGCAGTTGTCAGTTCTTCATAGATCACAATAAGGTGCAACAGTAAAGGGGCAAATAGTGGTTAATTAGCACAGTTTGCCCTAACCTGGTGTCTTCCAGAGATGTTGGAGTGATTCTATACAGAGGCTAGATGGCCATCTGTCGGAGATGCTTTGAGTGCAATTTTCCGATTTCTTGGCAGGGGGTTGGACTGGATGGCCCATGAGTTCTCTTCCAACTCTATGATTTATGATTACATGACTGTAACTGCTATAATCCCTATTGTGATGAAGTTGATTAATGTTCTCATCCAACACCTTTAAGTCCTTAACTGCTTAGGGGATATATACAAGTATGGGCAAAGTGCTTCTGAGGACACCAGTTCCTCCAGAGTCCAGTTTGCCAGGCATGTAGGATTTCCTTTAGTTGTTGTTTACTGGTATCAAGTCAACTTTGACTTATGGCAACCTTATGAATGAGAGATCTCCAAGCCATTTATCCTCAACAGCCTGCTGGAGTCATGCAGACTCCGGGCCATGGCTTTCTTGATTGAGTCTATCTGTCTGGAATGTGATCTTCCTCATTTCGTACTGCCTTCCACCTGATTGTGTTGTGAATTCCTTTCAGAATTATGGATAGACCACATCAGCTCTAGTTTCTGGTACAGAACATATGCTATCCAGTAGTTGCCATCTGCTTGTCCACAGAAAACCATTATTAATAAGCCTTGGCACTATAAGGGTTTTGTGAGACCAGTCGCTCTCATTGCAACAGTGCAGTAATAGTGAGGTTGTGGACCATATTTTAGTTCTTATAGGTTAGGAACTACTGCTAGAGCTGGAGATCCTGCTTTGAGCCAGGGATTGGATTTTATCACTCATACGGCCCTTTCCAACACTATTTTAATTTGATTCTGCTCTCCTCACTTTCAGTGGGAAAAGTTGCATGCCTTCAACATAGCATTTTAAATCATTCCATTATCATGATTATTTTAATAATTTGTGAGTTATTTTGTTTATTAGAGGTTATTACATGCCATAATAGTATGGCAAAAGCTGCTATTGAAATATTATAACCGAATAAACAAAGAAATCAATTAAATAATCCAAAGGGAATCAAATTGGGCAAGATAGGCTAGAAAAATGTCTTTTTATCTATTGTCTGATTTGATTTAGTAATGCAATGAAAAAAAGACTTATCGGTGAATTCTGGTTTATTTTGGAGAGGAGGGATAACTACACCATTGGAAAGGAGAGTGAATAATAAACTTCTCCCACTGAAGAATTAAGAATTGAGGGCTCAATTGTGTGGCTGTGCTATTATATGCCATGTTCAGACCAATAAGATTGATTACTTTTAAGATCTGTGCAATGTGTGATCAATTACCTGTTTTCATCTGCTCTGACAATGGCTGAGCCTGTTATGTTTATAGCACCTGATTACATCCATATCTCAGTGTACTAATTGGCCCTTAGTTCTGAAGGAAAGAATGACTGGAATTCCCCTACCTGTTAAAAAAAAAAAACAACTGCCAGAATACTATGTCATCTTATTTATTTATTCATATATTTACTTACTCAATTAACATAACTTTACATATACTTAACTAAGTAGCAGAGGCACTAAGAAGCATTCAGTGAATTCTGAAGTTGCATATTGGGACACATGGGTGTGTAATGCACATTTCCTGGCTCTGAAAGAGGCAACCAGCTTCATTACTTTGCACATTAATTTTTATTTTGCTTCGTTTTTAATCCTATTTTATACTTCCAGGGGTCAGAATATCTGGCTACAATTAGATCACAGAGTTTTGGATCATGATTTGCCCAAGAAACCCGGTCCAGCGGCTTTGTTTTTTGCCGTCAGGTAAGTAATAATCCTACATGCAAAATAACATTTAGCAGCGTGAAACTGCAAGCAAGGATTTGATGTTGAATTTCTGTTAATTAATTAGCTTTGAATAACCAAGTTCAGCTGATTCCCTTGTGTTGCTGGATATATATATATATATATATATGATAACGTGACATTTGTATTTGTGGCTGCGTCACAATTCCCTTATCATTTCCCAACACAACATGCTACATCATGTTCTAAATTCTTTATTTTTAAACCTTTAAAAGATGAGTCAGAATTCTAGATATAGCACAATCTTTCTGTACACGGTAAAAAGGCTGACTTCAAGGGAACTTTTTCTTTGAAGAACACCTTACTGGCCTGGAAATTATCCAAATTCCAAGGCTTCTTATTTTTAGCCACACACAATGATAAAAAAGACTTTATTGCATGCAGGTGGTGAACTGGCATAGAAGAATGGATATTCATTGATGGTTGGCTGCTATCCCCCACCATTGACAGGACAAAAGCCATCAATAGCTCCTGATTGTTCAATAGTCCCAGGACTTACATGATGCAATGAGATCTAGGCATGCTTATAACAGCAGGGGCAGGCTTCTTACTACTGAGGCATCAGAGTTGCATGACACCAACAGCAGTGCATTGTAGAGACTGTGAAAATGCCATGGGATAGTAGCTTTATGTAGAGCAGGGGTCCTCAAACTAAGGCCCGGGGGCCGGATGCGGCCCTCCATGGTCATTTACCCAGCCCTCGCTCAGGGTCAACCTAAGTATGAAACTACTTGAAAGCACACAATACCAACAACAATCCTATCTCATCAGCCAAAAGCAGGCCCACACTTTCCATTGAAATACTAATAAGTTTATATTTGTTAAAATTATTCTTAATTTTAATTATTGTATTGTTTTTTTAATTGTTTTTGCACTATAAATAAGTTATGTGCAGTGTGCATAGGAATTCATTCGTATTTTTTTCTAATTATAATCTGGCCCGCCAACAGTTTGAGGGACTGTGACCTGGCCCTCTGCTTAAAAAGTTTGTGGACCCCTGATGTAGAGAGATGGAAAGCAGTGGACTGGCAATGAATGTCACATGACATCCTGAGATAGGGACTATCACCAAAGGTGACAATATGCTTTTATACCAACTTGCCACCTCCTCCATGGAGAAAGGAATTTGGGGGGGGTGGGGGGAATAGAAATTAAAATGCCACTTTTTATGGCCAGATTTACATTCATGAATTCTTCGTGACCACATTTTCCCTTATGAACCCACACAGTCCCTAAGATTTGCCAGGGAGGCCTTCCTCTTGCTTCCGCCACCGTCTCAAGCACAGTTGGTGAGGACGATAGAGAGAGCCTTCTCAGTGGTGGACCCCCGGCTCTGGAACTTCTCCCCAGGGAGATAAGGCTACTCCCTACTCTGTATGCCTTTTGCAGGGACCTCAAAAACCTGAATGTTCTAGTGTGCATTTAATAGTTAGGTTCATGAATGCCCAGCCCTCATTAACTGATTATATTCAGCACTTTACCCCCAGTCCTGGCCCCATAGTTTGCTTTTTGCACAAATCTGGGCCCGGCCCTCTCCAATTCTGATCATGTCTACTATACTTCTAGTTACTAGTTGTTGAGGTTTACTATTTATACATTTGAATGGGGTTTATATCCTGTTGTTTTTGATTGTCTAATTAGATTGTTATATATTATTATGTTTTCAACTGTGTTTTAGGTGTAAACTCTGTTATTTGCTCTGGGCTTGGTCCCATATGTAAGCCGCCCTGAGTCCCTTTGGGAAGAAGGTGGCAGGGTATAAAAATAAAGTTATTATTATTATTATTATTATTATTATTATTATTATTATTATTTCATTTTTATTTGTTTCCCTTCTTCCTCGCAACTCAAGGCAGCATGCATGAAACTCAATCCCATCACCTTGCTATGAAATAGGTAATACACAGAGAAAGTATTCCCAGTTTGGTTTTTGCAACAGATCCATGATCACAATCCACATTTCATTCTCTGGAGTATCTCTTGTAGCCACAAGGGAGGAGATGGGAGACTCTTGTTTCTTAAACATCTTAATATAAAACTATTTTAGGATCCAAGCTAATGAATATACAACTTATTATAATAAGAGCTTTCTGTTGCTGTTTTGTAGCCATATTTGGGCACCAATTAACCCACTTATTTACAGACCCAAGTCATGGCACTCACCTCACAGTGCAATGTGGTTCATCTTTGGCATCCACCTATACAATGTCTTCTAACCTATTTTGGGATATTACTGGCCATTTTTTGCCAGGCACCTTTAGGCTCCTTCACTCACCTTTTTAAAGGTTGTATGGGCCTTAAAGTGACATCAAACTGCATTAATTCTACAGTTTATGCACTCTTAAGTCACACAAATTCCTTATGTTGGGTACATGCCAAGTGGCAACTTGAATTGACTACAAACCCTATATGAATAGTAAAGGGAATATGACTATCTCCAGAATGATGGCAACATACCCAACAAAGAGAGACCACAAAAATATGCTTGTCATTCCTTTTGACATCCTTTCCTGTCTGTGGTTCTGACTTGTGCTACTCCTTTTCAGTTGATAAGACATTCCTTGCGTGGTAATATCCTTTTGTCTTTTCAGTTCTTAGCTCATTGTGAACAGCATTCTGAACATCATTTAAGATTACAGGTGTGGCTGCTTCCTTAACAAAAACGTTGTCAGCTCAATCTAGCAAGATGCTATCTAACATATGTGTAAAGAAAAAATATATGCATATTTATGAGTGAAATTACTCCAAATTTCTTTTGCAATTATCATGTTCAGCTGCACTTCACTGTGAGATTCATTCACAGTTTTTAATCTATTGGTCTTGGCAAGGTTTTTGTCTTTACTGTGCAAACTTTCAATTGTGATATCATGATCTTATGACACTGTGCCAAACCAAGTTCAACTTATTTTTGGGAACTCAGCACTGGCCAGTTAAATGCAGAAGTGTCTTACATTGAGATGAACAAACTGGATCATTTAGTCTGTTTCTCTAAGGAATGGTTCCCAAGCAGACATAGCTGTGCAGCTCCAGATGTAGTACTTCCATCTTTTTAAATACTGGCAAATGAATCTATAACATTTGGTAAGCATCCATGGGGAAATTCTGGCCTGTAAGCATGATCCTATAAACAACACTTCCCATCCAGCCAACAAAACTATGCAAATTTACTTTTCCAAGCCATAGAACCCCTCATCCTTGATCAAGAAATGTTCCTCAAAATTTGGTTTAGAGGACAAGCAATAAGACAAGCTGGCTCTGAAAGAAACTGAAATTATGGTAATTCCCTGGCTCGAGATGCCACCAGAACCTGAAAAACGTTTTTTATGCCCCTTATCATTCTGGACCAAAATGTAAGAAAATGAGTGACATCTGTGTATGTTTCGGTTTGAAAGATGGGAGATATGCTCGCTGTGATTCATATGCCAACAGCAGGGATTGGCCAACCTAGTTTGTGCCATGGACCTGACATAAAGTCTCTGACTTATTTGTTCAAAGCAAATTTAGTTCTCAAGTAGAGATGTAGCTCTCTCTTGTTTGCCACATTTATTTATTTATTTGCGTTATTTGTATACCACCTTTCTCAATTCCAAAGGGGATTCAGGGTGGTTCACAGTATTTACAACAATTGAATGCCATCAATAAAAAACAGTATAAAATATCAAAAACGACCCTCCCCTGACAAAACATTATTAAACACATCACATAAAATAACACCACATATCACACAAAAACATAACCGTTGTCCCTAAACAGTATTGGGTCATTGTACTTTCAACTTTCACTTTAACTCTAAATATTCCTATGATGGGCCGAATGCTTAGTTCCACAGCCAGGTCTTTAGTTATCTCCTAAAGGTCATGAGGAAGGGGGCCACAGAGCTACCACAGAGCTATGGCCTCATTAAAGATTTAATGCCCTTCATTATCTAGAATTTGCGGGACCCACAGAAGACATCTCTGTACATGAGAAGTAATCTGTCCCCTGCTTTTCAACATCTAACAGTACTTTATCTTAATTTTTAAAATGTTGTTCTTGTCTGGCATATTCCTCCCTTCTTTCTTTTATTTCTATAAATGTAAGATGCATTTATACTGTTGAACTAATGCAGTTTGATGCCACCTTAACTGCCATTTCCTGCTCCCAGACTATGGAGGCACCTTCCAGAGTCTGAATCCCTCTCTGGTCTTTGTGCCAGTAGGCAAAAAGCCCCCAAGACACCTTCAACTTTTAATTAGTTGTGCAGAAGGAATTTTAATAGGGTTGCTGTGCTTGGACCTTTACATTTTAAACAAGAGTTTAAAAACCTTTCATTTTAAGAGTATTATATATTTTTTAAAATGTTGGTGTCACAAATTGCTTTATATTATACTTTGGGTTCCATCCTGGGAGAAATATATTTTTAAAATCATAATTATTTGGCTAATCAAATGTCCTCCATAGGATGTTAGACTGATTTATTTGCTGTGTTGTAACATAAACCAGTAGATTATGGTTGCTTTATAGCTGGAACTACAGTAAAATATTAATGTTGCTTCTGATTCCTTTCTTTTAGGTTTTACATTGAAAGCATTTCTTTTCTGAAGGACAAGACCACAGTAGAACTCTTTTTCCTGAATGCAAAGTCCTGTGTGCATAAGGTAATGACCATTTCTTCCGATACAATTGCAAGTTACTATGTTTCTAGTCCTAAAAGTCTTATTTGTGAACATATTTATTAACATGGGCAAAGCAAAAAATGGCAGAATTTACAGGATATCTTCCATAAATAATTCAATGATGTTATAATTATTTTGAGTCAGATTGTGAAACCTGATCTTGAGTGGCTTGAATCTAATAACCTGTAAAAACATACATTTTCCACTTTGAAACATGGTGGCATGCCAATACCTCCTTACATTAAACTTGAATGCTTGAAATCAAAGCATCTTTTGTCTTTTTATGATGGTGTTTGTTTTTCATAGTGTATTTTCATAAGTAAAGTGTTGAGCAATTGTAATGAATGGCTACAGTGAACACAACGGAGAAATGGTGATTCACTTTGAAAAGAGAGAAAGGTTCAATCAGGATAAGCTATTGTTTACTGTTTATGTACATAAGCCCTATTGGCTCCAGCAAGTCTCCAAAGTCTCCATTTTGGTCCCATTCCTAGAAAACAAGTGAGATATGCATATTCCAGGCTGATAAATGCGGTATACAAATAGAGTAAATAAATAAATAAATAAATAAATATATAATATACTCATGTCAACAATTTCTATAAGGAATAAAATAGTTAATGCCACTTAATGGGCAAGGATGTTTAGAATTGTTCAGGAAGAGGAGGGTTTAAGTTGTGCCAATGCTCTTCATCTGTTTTTTTATATTGCCATTTCTAGTGACAGATTTGTGTCCATTAATTCTCTTGTTTGATATTTTCAATGTAGAGTGTAGAAGGATAGTGCTGGGATAGGATGACATGCCTCATACTGGAGGAAGAGCAAATAAATGCACCTTTATTGTTGTGAGATTATTAGCTCCTGAAATATTGCTCCCAGAGTAGATGTTGAGACAGAGTCCACATCTGGGTTTGTGGCAGGGTCTTGTCCATGTATTGCCATCCATTTTATGTATCTTGTTGCAAGTGAGTATGGTTGTTGGTTATGATTTGGAGCCTGACTGAAAGCCCATGAAGGTTTGCCTCTCAGAACTTGTGAGAGGGCTGTACTATTCTCCATAGCTGGTTGTAGTTGTTGATTATGGGTTTGAGTAGTCTAAGATGCGAACTCTATGTGACCCCTTGGGATGCTCAGTCATTTTTGTGTTTCAGATCAGCTGATGTTTTCTAAGTATTGTTGATTTATTTCTTCAGGTTCTTGGGGCTAGGTATTGCTTGAGCAATGCCTGTTGTAATTACAAAAGTTTTGAATTTCTGTCTCATGGGTCTGAGCAGAGGCGGTTGTATCGGGGTATTGACTGTCAACAACAGATTTTGTACTTGTGTTCTGGGTGGAAACTGGAGGCATATGCAGATGTGCAACATCATTGAGTTTTCGATAAAGCACAGTGCTTAAAAGTCTATTGTGTAGTTACACAGCATTGTCAAGCAAGTGAATTTGTTGTTTTGGTTTGTTCCAGGCTCAGATTGATGATAGAGTGGAAGAGTTTGAAATATGATAGAACTTCCAAAGTAACCGTTTTCCATGTCACCAGATGACAAAGATGCCATCAAAACATCTTTGGTGAAAGAGAGGTTTTGAGGTGCAAGTGCTGAAAATTAAATTCTATTCTATTCCCACCACAGAGGGTGTTCTTGTACCTGAGGCCTTAATTCCACTCAGTACTACAACTAAATACCATTAAGTACTAAATCTGAAGAAGTAGGTTTGTATCCATTAAAACCCATGCCAATATAAAAACCAGTTAGTCTTAAATGCACTGCTACATTTCTTTTTTTTCTCCTCCCCCCCCCCCTTCCTCCTTTTGGTGTTGCAAAATATTTAACATAGCTACTTTTCAGAAAAAAATAACAGACAGCTATATGACAGGGAAATCTTGGGAAAACCTTGGAGCCCCCAAAAGTCTACTGTGGGCAAGTTGAACACCTTGGGCAAGTTGAACACACGGGCTGCATTTCCCTACCCTTGTGCTATAGCAAACAGTGGCTGGATAGAGACACACATATGTTTATATTTGCCCTCTGCCATGTAGTCATCCACTCAGCTTTGCCCCTTTGACCTGGCCTTTGCCCTATCTAGAGAGAAAGTTTCTGATGTCTGTCATTGGATGAGTGGTATGACAAAAAAAAAGGCAGGAGACCTGATTAACATTGCCGCCCTCTTGAACTAAAGATGTACGTATCAGGCACTGAGATGTGCCTGATAAGCATGAGAGGACATGAGCTTTTCGCACACCACAAATATAGCAATTTGATGTTATGGCTGTTATTGCAGTTGTATGAGATACTAGAGCTCTCTGTCAGAGAATTCTAAGTATCCCATAAAATTACACTTCCTCACATGCCATGCATTGGAACCATCATGGTTAAAGTGATATCAAAGTGCTGTAGCTGTGTAGTGGACTCAGTTCTGTCCCACATCTTATTTAACATATACAGGAAACCACTGAGAAATGGTTTCGTGCTCTCAGTATGCAGATTTTTATTTTTATTTTTTAGTGTTAGGAGTGACTTGAGAAACTGCAAGTCGCTTCTTGTGTGAGAAAATTGGTCGTCTGTAAGGACATTGCCCAGGGGATGCCCAGGTGTTTTGATGTTTTACCATCCTTGTGGGAGGCTTCTCTTATGTCCCTGCATGGTGAATTGAAGCTGCCAGAGGGAGCTCATCCACACTCTTCCCCGATTTGAACATCCAACCTGTCAGACTTCAGTCCTGCCAGCACAAGGGTTTAACCCATTGTGCCACCGGTGGATGAAACCCAGCTGTATTATACCTTTCCATCATAAGCCAAGAAAGCTGTTTTGATAAACTGTTGCTTGTTTGTTTGTCATCAGTAAACACAGACATGTGCCTTTCACCTTAAGAACAGACAAGCATCCTGAGCTCTGAGGATTACCTGGGAAGGAATCCCACTGGAGCATTGCAGCGCACCCAAATACCTGGGAGTCGCTCTGGACCGTCCTCTGACCTACAAGAAGCACTGTGCCTGAACATCAAAAAGTGGGTGCTAGAAACAATATCATACGAAAGCTGACTGGCACAACCTGGGGATCACAACCAGACACAGTGAAGACATCTGCCCTTGCTCTATGCTACTCTGCTGCTGAGTATGCATGCCCAGTGTGGAACACATCTCACCACACTAAAACAGTGGATGTGGCTCTTAATGAGACATGCCGCATTATCACGGGGTGTCTGCCCCCTACACCACTGGAGAAATTACACTGCTTAGCCGGGATTGCACCACCTGACATCCGCCGGGAAGTAGCAGCCAATAGTGAAAGGACCAAGGCAGAGACATCTCCAGCTCATCCCCTTGTTTGGGTATCAGCCAGCACGTCAATGACTTAAATCAAGAAATAGTTTTCTTAGATCTACAGAGACACTCGCTGGAACACCTCAATTCAAAAGTGGCAGACCCAAACCCAGCACCTCAATCCATGGGTGATACCAGATGAGAGACTCCCCCCTGGGCACACAGAAGACTGGGTGACTTGGAAGGCACTGAACAGACTGCGCTCTGGCACCATGAGATGCAGAGCCAATCTTAAGAAATGGGGCTACAAAGTGAATCCACGACATGCGAGTGTGGAGAAGAGCAAACCACTGACCACCTGCTGCAATGCAACCTGAGCCCTGCCACATGCACCATGGAGGACCTTCTTGCAGCAACACCGGAAGCACTCCAAGTGGCCAGATACTGGTCAAAGGACATTTAATCAGCTACCAAGTTTGCAAAAATTGTGTTTGTTTTTTTATCTGTTTGTTTGTTTTGTTCTGTTAGAAATGTAATACAATGTTCTGGTTGTGGATGACATGATAAGTAAATAAAATCAGTAATAGACTGAATGAGGGCAAAGAAATTGAAAGACTGAGAAGTTCCTACCTGGTCAGTCAAAAAGTCAACCAGGGAATAGGGTTCAGCCAATGCCTAAGGAGAGGCAATTGTAGTGAAGGAATAGAGTGAGTGGAAAAACGTTTAAGCAGGCACTGCATTTCTGATCAAAATGTGTATGTGATTATTTGTCTGTAACCTCTTAAGATGCAAGAGTGTGACAGAGGGAAATACATGCAAAAGTATTTTGTTAAGGAACCCTAAAGAAAATTATCTCCAGCACCCATTGAATGAGGTTCAATACGTGCAGCGTCTTTTCATTTCATTAAGCATCTTAAACCATTGTTAGATTTGGCTTCTGGATCTGTCAGAGCAAGTTTACTAGACACAAACACTCCTTGCCCAAAAACGCTTTGCCTCGGCCAAGGGTGTAAATCTAGATCAGGATGGGAAGGAAAGTGTGAATGAATGCATTGGGTGTGGATAAGTATGTGGGCGTGCAGTGGAATGTATACATATTTATGTATGCAAAAGAAAAGCGAAAACTGTCAAAATATAAACATTGCTGCTGTTGTTTTGGTCAAGTCTTAGATGCCACTCACAGGGTAATCCTGATGTTGTGTTTGGGTGTGTGATATATATAGAGAGAGATTGGGGGGTGGGGGGAGAGAGAATGGTAAATACTCTGCACCAATAATCGCTTTCAAAGGTTATGGGTGTTGTACACAGTCTGGACTAAGAACAACATTTTTCCTTTACTAGGTGTGTATTAATTGGTATCAGGTTCTTGTTGAACCTGCCTGTTAGCCCAAGAGGAAAAAAGCTATTTCTACAGGGAAATAGCTATTTCTACAGGGAAGCATTGGGTATTGTGTGGCCCTACAGATATGGTAGAACCAAAGCTCCTATTGTTTCTAACTATTGCCTATGCTGGCAGAGGCTGCTGGAAGTTGCCATTTAACAACATCTGGAGAGCTAATAGTTTTCATCTCTGTCCTAAGAGCTACTCCATGCTTTAAAAACACAAGAAAAATGTTGAGGGAAAATGATAGTATCTCAGGACAACAGTAATGAAGCTCTGATGCTGGATATTCAAATGTAGGTGAAATGAAAATGTGTTGGTCAGTAAGTTGTGCTCACTTAATGC